CTTCACGAGGACTTACAGAACTTTGTTCCAGTTTTTCGGCCAACACAGGGCAAGGAAATCCCCTTCAGTTTTTAGACTTAGTCCATACCAAGAGGTTTGACTAAACACATTACAGCAAGTAGTGTTTATAATGTTTTTTGTGCTGTTTTCTGCTTTGCCTCTAAAAAGTAAGGATGGACTTATGTTACTTATCCCCATAATGACTTTATATGTGTTGAAAAATCCCATGCCTCTCCTCCACAGTACTTTTCCTCATCCATTTTGAATCCACTGTACTTTCAGATAAATAGAGAGGTTGAGGGGAGGCGAGATGTTTTTTGAGTCCAGATTTGCTTTAGAACAGACAGAATGCCGGCACTCACTGATAAATTATAATCAGTTGATGATGGCTTAGAGTTGAAAGAAATTGTTTTTTTGTCCCATAATAAACAAGATGACTGTTTATCAGTGAGCGCCGACATTCTGTCTGTTTTGATTCTTGCCACGTCCGGGCACGCAATACATTGTTTGAGAATTGGAGTGGAGCACGCTGCCACTTTTATTTATTTTTTGCCAGATTACTGTTAAATCGTACACATTTGAATATGTTTAGCTTTGTTTTTAATGAACTGAAGACTCTCAACTGGACGTCAAAGATACTTTACGAGGTTCCACGAGGCCCCACAAACTCTGGTGTTAAAATCCAATGATATGCTGTCAAAACTCATGAAGCCCTTTTACCCTCTCTCTAATGTATGGATCTTTCTTGGAGCCTCTTTGTTGTTTGTGCAGTTGAAGGGGAGTGAGAGGATCAAAGACGCACCCAGAGCAATAAAAGCTTAGCCTGTGGAGTGCCGGAGTGACCCCCAGACCTTAAGCTCTTCATTACTGCAGCTCACAGCTAATTATTGTGGACAAGACAGTTGAGAAACCAGAAAACTGCCCAACCCTCCTCACTGTAGGGTGGTCAGCTTTTACTCCCAATCGTAGTTCTCAACCTCTGGATGTCGGAGGTCAAGGGAAAGCAAACCTCCTGGTGCCCTTGACCCGTACCCACCCCATAAACCGGCATCTCCCTCTGGAAAAGAAGGAGAAATTCTAAACCTGAATAAAGCACATACAATGTTTTTGCCCTCTGTTGAACCAAAAAATGCTTCCACATGCTCCCCTTACTGTACAGCTCTGTTATTTTTAACTCAATCTCAACTGTAGTGACCACAGACCACATCCTTCAGGGCATGTGTGACTTTTTTTTTTATTTTTTTTTTTCCAAATGCTTTTGTCAGCTGAGATTAGTTGGAAGAGGTATTTCAAAAAGACTTATTTACTCTGAAGGAGTGATTCTGGGCCGGTCACAGTATAGGTTGATTTTGTTACAACAATGGCTCTTGTCATCAACTTTGATTACATTATTATCGAGTGATGTTTTCAGTGGGCCCTTATGTTGTGTAAGACAAGGCAGTCGGCCCACATATTTTGCCAGTAATTGTTTTGCAGTGTGATCCTGTCATGTTTGCAGTCATGATGCTGATGTTATACGGAGGCAGCAAATTGATTTTGTGCTGATTTTCGTCTAAGCTGTCATAACCATATGCTAAATGTCACTCCTGTATAATTTCAATAGGATAACAAAAAAGATCTGTTTAAAAATAGACAGCCACTGTTACTTTGTAGATTGTCCAAAAAAGAGACGTTTCTCCTGAAAAGGGAAGATGAGGACAAAAGTCCATTGTGTCATCCTGCCTATTTTGGTCTACGTACAACCACAGACATCATGTTGCGTTACTTCACAACCCCCGTGTTTTCCGCTGAGGTTCACGAACACACTTTCCTTCCTTATCACATGAGTCGTATTGGGGAATTTTTAGGAGCTTCTCAAATTGCTTCCGTCCATAAAGGTATACTACAGGGACACTGACCTTGCACACGTGCCGACCAGCACATCTGCATTAACTTTTCGAAGGAGGGCCTTTTTATTTTAGAGAAGTAAGAGCCGCGGTCAAGTTCGTTTTAGACGTGATCGTTTGACTGAAGTATTAGTTGAACCGATGTCATTTACATGTTTTTATTGCAGGTTCAGCAGCAGATAAAACTGGATGTATGGAGCAGTTGATGTCTTGAATTCAAGCATTGATCTTAATTTGCAAATAATTTGATGTGACATTTTATGGATTTTTACAGGGGAAGATGTCCTTATGTTCATGATCACAATTAATGAAGTGGATTATTCAAACACAGTGTGAATACAGTGCTCCTGAAAGTAGTTTTCAACAAGGAAGTAGGGTACATAGGCTAATATATTGAATTATCTTGTGTGAACCTCTCGAACGGCTGTTGTTCATGGGTTGTCCTTTAATCGGGGTCATTGTATTTTGGGGTCAAGTTCAGTATGATCCTATGTTCTCGTGGCTAATTCTTTCAGCAGTCAACTCTCCAATATTACTTTCTATACAACAGAAACAGAGAAACCTGAGCATCATGGAGCCCTGTTTTAGTGTAGACTAAGTAGAGACTGTCATTCAACTGAATGCAAATTCCCTGTCGAGTTGCCTAATTTCCTTGGTTTAGTCTGCCCACTTCTGAGAAAAAAGCCTGGGTGTCTTTTGGCTCGATACAGTAGACTTGTTTTCTTCGGCTGTTTTTACGTTGCCAGTTTCATTGAGCAACTGGTGCACAATTGACTTCTTTGAGCTTGTGTATTGGGAGAACATACTTACTGTACCATCATGCAGAGCCACTGGGATTTCACCACAGAGACAGCCAAACCAACACAATGAGCAGAAAGAAGCTCAAAACTCCACAGACTTGCAGACCACCAATGGTTCCCAGTGGGAGTGTCAGTACAAGCAACTTTTTCATATTGCACAAAGTCCTTTGGTGTTATCATTCAATGTGATTTTACTTTGGTACAAAAATATTGCTTATTTGAAAATTAAACAAATATATTGAGCAAGCTCAGAAGTATGCAACATAGTGTGGATACTGTGTTGTATAGTTGTTTGTTTGCATGCTTTTTCACAATAGAGAACATGCTAATACGTCCATTAATTCTCCAGGATATTGCAGGTGAGGCATTGGGCAGTGTCAGGAGTTACAGTAGTCACTGCTTTATGGATGTGTTTGAAGTCACTCAATAATAAATAATATCCCTCCTGAACAGACTCATTCGCTAAATATCCCAAAAGGAAGCACTTTGCTTCTCTGTAATGAAATGGCACAAATCACCAGTTAATACTTGGCCAAAATGCACTGATATATTTAAACCTCTTCCTTTTAGTTATGCCTAAACTACCACATTAAAGCAGACTTTAGGTGCATGCATTAAGTCATTACTTGGAAGAAAATCAAGAGTATCAGAGCTAGGAAAGTTTTTCAAAATTTGAAAGTTTGGAACAGGCTTCTTATCGGAAATGAGCATTGGACCCCATCATAACAGAATTTTTTCATCCCACTGTCGGTGCATAAATACACATCCATACTTTCCTAATTCTCTTAAATCTGTAGCCAGCCTATGCGCAGAGCAGTATATGTGTGAAGGATACCAAAGAAATATGGTGCCGTTGGCCTGCCCCAAGACCGCACAGAGTGCTCCGCTGCCAACAGTGCCTCCAGTAATTATAGACCAGAGATGTGGAGACTGTTGCTCTCCAGGCTAAACTGAAACTAAACCCCCTATTTCATACTTGGTATTTGCTCTTTTCAGTACATGAGTACCCCATGTTTAAAAACTGTGTTATTTTTGGGCTGTAGCTTGACTCTTTTCTGTTTATAGTGCAGCCTGACTGAGCTGAAGTATAGAATAGCTGACCAGCATGCAGAGGCAGTAGTAGCTTTGAAGACTGTTATTGACATTGCAGCACTTTCTGTTGCCCATGTCATCTAATGTCTGTTTAATCTCTGCTGTTGTCAATAATACGTTTCATTAATATACAATGTAGAACATACCCTGCTGCCTCTAAACTTCCTGTGTGGCTGATGGTACAATCAAACAGTCATTGATTTTCCATCTCTAATTTGTAGGTTGTGGCGAATGGATGAATTGTATGTTGATATTCAATTAACTGTGCAGTCAAGTAACTGTTGCGATAACACTGTTAAAGCAAAAACTTGATTTAGGATGCACTAGTAACAGTGTAGAAGAGTAAAACGTCCGAACTGAGCCCCGTACTCCCTCATCATCCCCCCCAGACCATCCACATAAGCACACCACTGACCTGGCTGCACTTTACTGGAAATCTGCTGTTGTTGATTCGTCCTCTCCAAAGACTGTGAGGCCTGTGTCTTGGTCTTCTAATTGTGGCAGTGTGGAAGTGACTGTGGGCAGCTGTAATTGGCCAGCAAGATGGGTGGGTGACATCTTGTGTGCCTCAGTTATTAGATTTTGAGCATTGGACGGCACAACAGCCTGCAGGAGCCTCAAGATTCTTTTATGATTTGTTAAAATGTGCTTTTAGCTACTGTGAAGGTCTGCACACACTAAGTGCATCTAAATTGTTCTTTTTGTCTCTTTTGTGTTGTTCTAAGTTGCTGAAAAGGCCAAAACTCAGGGTTCTTATTCTTAGCAAGGCAATTTTTATTTTTTGTTTTTTGCTATGGACTGCTTGACATGCCAACGTTTGTCATTTCATAGGAAGCTCAATGTATTTTGTCTGGATTTTGGTGTAACAAGAGTGTTTGTTCTGGTGTCACACGGTCTCAGTATATGTCAGGTTAGATCAGTTTTCACAGTTTCAACGTTGGGTCCAGTTTTTGATTAGCACAGTTTGGTGTTGTTTCCATATTGTGTGTCTATCTCGTCTGTTTTCATCACTACCCACCTCATAGAAATTCTACCTCAGCTGCTCATATTTTCCAGTTGAAGGGTTTTCTCAGCTTATCTCTGAAAATAGTTTGAACAGCAATAGGCAGCGTATCCATTAGCTTTTTTTCACATAGATAAGCTATTATTCATGTATGATGTATATGAAGTATATGCTCAATCATATTAATTAGTCTTTTTTTTTCTTCCTTATTCTCATTAGTCACAATGAGCGGAAGGTGACCTGCAAGCATCCTGTCTCAGGCTTACCCTCACAAGACAACTGCATCTTTGTCGTCAACGAACAGTAAGTCTCTTGTTTTTGCTTTTAGAATGCCACAGGGCAACATTTTTGAGCACTACAGTATGCTGTTTAAACTCCTGATGAGTGGACAACATTGCATAAGTTGTTGCCTTGCCATCCTCTATTTGCGGTTTTGCCCTTTAAGTTCAAAGCCTCCTCTATCAGGGCTTTCCACAAAGACACTGAGTCGCCAGCCAGTGGGAAAGAGCACTTTGAGACAGGACTGATACAGAGAGGCATGCTTCTCTATCAACACACTCATGTTATTTTAAAAGCTGAGGCTGGTGATAGTAAACTGTACATGCATTGTTAATCAAAACTATTTTATGAGCATAAATAGCTAATATCAAGAAGTAACTGGCTGGACTTAAATTCTGGAGCTTATGGGAAGCTCTGTTGTGTTCTCTTTAATGCTTCCTCAGTTGTCTATCTTCATGAACTTGGGCATAAGAATCAAACTTCTGTTCAGTAGATACTTTTTACACACTTGTATCATATATATGATTTGGTTTTCTTCGTACCTAGAAAGGCACTAAGAAATAATCTCGATGCTAAAACCTGAAATGAAAAGAATCCATTCTGTCCTGTATACATCAGGTAGTGGGAATACGGGGATTGACACATTTAATCCCTTGTTTTGGCCCGACCAGAGTTCATGGCTTTTTCTTTTGTCATAAGTGCAAGGTTGTGTCCTTCAACTTCCATGTGATCATCTACATGGTTTTCATCACATGTCTACCCACATGACTGGATTGAAAACAAGTCATCTTGAGCTTCACATCAAGAAGAACAAATCTATAAATATGTCAGCCTAAATTTAGTCAGTGCATGTCCACTTCAGGAATGATCAGTATTCCCATTTTCAGATGTCTGCACCTTTAACTTTTGAACCTTGCACATGGCCTGATCATAGCGGGGCGTGGACACGGTCAAGTGTTTAAGGGCCAGATGTTTGCACAATGTCACAGAAAAAACAAAGCAGATACCAATCTTTAATATTTTATATTCCAGTATATCTGTGTGCAGATCTGTAACCGCACAAACTGTTCACATACAAGATTGTTTTCGTCACATCCCACACCATGACATTTACATCAACTTTCATGGTTCACTTTGGCCATCTTAGCTTAATGTTGTGCAACATGTATCAGCTCTGCTCAGTTTCTCAACTACCTCAGAAATCCCTCTCATAGTTCATCTCCCACAATCTTAAACTGTTGCACTAAAGTGGTGCCATCACAACTGGTGTCACTTATTTTAGCATGAGTGCTAATTGAAAAATGCTCTGCTTCAAGACATAAAATTTCACTCCCCTGTGGGAAACTGTGACTAACGAGTAAAGGATAAATTCCCTGATGTCCCATCATGGAACCCGGTTTCAGCTTTTTTTAATATGCGGCTTAGAAATGAAAATCCTGTTCTCTTGAACATGCAATAGTGAGCTCTTTCTTGTCTCACAAAATTCTTCTGAGCTGCATTTCTTTTCTTTTTCTTTTTTTTAGGAGAGATTGAATAATCAGAAAATGGTTGTGAAGAAGCTTGTTGTACCAGAACTGTCACACTGCACTCTCTTGACACATTCCTCTCCTCGCTGTATTGCTCTCACATCTCTGCTGTTTTTCACGCTAAGAAGCACAACATGCTGCTGCAAGATGATATCTAATTTAGCAATTAGTGCTTTATCGTTAAGGTCATCTGCAAAATGAATGTATATCAGATGTACCAGAGGTCAGGTGTGCGAGGGCAACAGCAAAGAGGTAAACCTACTGCTTGACTTGTTGTTGTTTCAGGTTTACTAAGTGCATTTCATCCAACAGTTGGCTGTGCTTTAGCAAAAATAATAAAGGGGAAAATCTTCACCCTGGACGAGTAAGAAAAGGCAAAGACGGATTTAAGCTGCCACAGGGATAAAGAGGCCTGGCTGAAAATCTCTGCCTAATCTTCTCTGCACTTTAAATCCATCTAAAACACAAATCTTTGCTTCAATTTGGCATTATTATTTTTTACTATGAATCTCGTATAACATAAAGACTATTACTGCAGCCAACCTTAAGACACATATATTCTACATAAGATAAAACACACAAAAATTACAGCTATAAAGGACGTGTAGGGAATTCCAGTGAGAGAAACCTAGATTAGTTTGAGTTCACGGATTTCAGAAGCCATTTCTAATCTGCTGTTGTGTCCCCGTCTAGGAATAAAACTAAGGTCTCCCATGATATGTAACTTACTTATGTTCAGTATCCATGAAGAGGGGAGCAACTATGAGATGGTCGTGTAGCTTCTTATGAGGAGGCAACTCAAAATTAGCTAAAAAAAAGGCAAAGATGCTGCACTGCTGTTGTGCCACAATGTTAAGGATAGTCGCCACAGATTTAGGACAAACCCTCTGGTCTCTTTCACAGTCTTAAAAAGTTTTGATCAAAGCAAAGCTCCTCTGTCCGTCTTTACAACCAGAACATTAACCCCAGATTTTTTTCTCCTCTTCACATGTAGGCTTGACTTCAAGGTTCAGGCTGCATTCACACCTTTTCATTTTTAAACAGAGCTTTAAAAATACAAGCGATCTCTGTCTAGGTGAGTGTTTAAGCACCGAAAAATACTCTCTGTGCATACTAACACGCCTGAAAGTAGATATCACATGACCATTCGTGTACACTGGGCATGCGGGCGCCGGTGAAAACACGAAGGAGGTGGTTGATTGCGAAGTTATACAAGTGTGTCTGTAACTGCACAACAGCTGCCAGCGTGTATACCAAGGTGAGCAATGCTTCAAATTCCTCATGCACGCTAAATTATCCACTTGGTAATCAAGGTTGATGTTTACATTCATGTGATAAATCAGGAAATGACACGTAGTGACAATTACGACCAATCAGGAAGTGAACCTGGGTGTCTGTGTTATTGTTTTCATTACTCTTTGTTTCTGCCCGTCCAGACTACAACAGAACATAGGAGATTTCAAATCGTAACAGCGTCAGCAGCGTTTCCAAAAGCCTGCATTTTAGGAGTCTTAAAGCTCCAGAATGGAGCGGGACCTCGGCATAAACATAGCAGAGATTATGCATTTTATAATGAAAATGTATTGGCATGTTTGTAGCCTCAGTGTTAATGGTTTAGTTTTTCGTGGATCCACAGTTGTATAAATTCATAGCAGGAACACACAGAGCGTTGCCACTGTGTAGTTATTAAGGCACCAATTTAGGTTATTATTTATGTATTAGTTATGTAATCTGCTTTAGTGTTGCTTAGGGGACATTAACAGGCAGTATTACGTACACATCTGCAGCTCATATTTATACTGTCACCTGTGCTGTGATGTGTGAGTTACTGCTCAAGTCATGGTGCAGTTCTGAATGTGACTCGAGGCCTCACTCGCCTCTGTGAATGTCAGCCTCAGCATTCTGCTGTCATTAGTGTTTATGTCTGTGCCTATTTCTAGTGGTCCACATGGTCATGTGCAGGCTAATAGAGAATATTTGTGAGCAGCAACTCACATGTAAACCAAAACAGAGTCTCACCACGTGCTCAGAGTAGCTTGGTTGGGGAATGTGACAATACAATATGTCAACTATTTCATTGTGCAATTTATACTACAGGAGCTGTTTTAAATATCTCTGTGCATATTAGATGGACAATGTTGAATATTTTTAAACAGGACTGCTTTACTGCAAAGTATTTTTACATATAAGGTATAGACTTTGCTATATAGACCCAAAACAGACATTTCTATGAGGACAATATTATTATGAGAATTCTTGTTTTTATTCTACTTTCCAGACTATTCCAGCAAAGCTACCATTATCCAGAGACATACCAATGCAGTATAAAATAATATGCCCACTTCATAGTATGATAGAGGATTTCATCCACATTACTCACTTCTAAGTGCAGCCAGTGCACCGTGGTGATGCGTGGAAAGGAGATGATACGTAAGCAGGAAGATATATAAGCTGATCAGTTCAGGCCACTGTACGCATAAATCACATTAGAAACAGAGTGTCTCAGATTTGCCCAGTCTAACAAAATCATGATGCTGTATATATTATCAGGTTTCTGTGTTGTCTTGTAATTATTGCTTGACTAGGCACGTTGAGTTGTTTTTTGTGAATCCCTTGTTGTTGTCTTATTTATTATAACTTTTAAAAATGTGCTATTTTTGGCATCCATGCTTTGAAGGAAACAACAAGATGTACCGAGTCACATTTTTAATGTAAAATCAATCTGCATACGACTATAAAGCATCATATAAGAGAGGATATGGCTTGTTTAAGTCTCTGTAATGTGAACACCTGAGAAACAATAAAAAATGCAGTTAAAGATGTTATAATTAGGAGTTGACTGATATGGATTGTTAGTCAGCAAAAAGATCAATAACCAACATAAATTTGCTGTAAAAATTAGAATCTGGGTGTCAAAAGTTAGAATAACACAAACTCGAACACAAAAGTTTATTCAAATGCATTTGTTTCTTTATTTTGTACTCGTGTTTGACTGAAACAGAGCTTTACAACATTCATCCTTCAGGTTTATTAGTCAAAACGTGTAAACAATCACACAGTGCTAAGAAAATAAAGTGACAAATTAGTTTTTTTTAAATTGTGGATTGGTATAACAAATCAAACAATATTGATATTTGGAAAAATGCTGCATATCAGATCTGATAATTGCAATAATTGGGATTTACAGCTAACCAGCTGATGAAACCATTCCTAGACTGTTTACAGCGTGGTCAGATGTGTAGATTCAGTATATAACATTAAAACATGCTGCCTGTGTGCAGATCTTCTTCAGAACACATCAAAAATATTTAAACTTTCATTCTTAACAAATGTGTCGTTCCTCTGTTTGGTTGTGTGGATTGTGGAAAACTGTGTCACCCAGCATTTAGCAGGTAATCCATTATCGGGTGCAAATGGATAACTGTGTGCTCTCTGCTTTTGTTTTTATGTAAAACACTTGAACACGTCTGTCTGTTAACACTCATTGTTGTTGCAAAC